TTTTGCTGCTGCTGCTGTCGGTGCAGCAGCAGCAGCAGCAGCAGCAGCAGCAGCAGCAAAACCAAAAGAAAAGAGAAAAAGTAACAAACGAAAAGAGCAGCTGAAGAGGCGCCGACGACAGCAGCCAGAGAAAGAAGAAAAAAAAGGAAAAAAAGAAAAAGAAAAAGGAGAGAACGAACCCATTGCTGTCTCACTTATCTTATTTTCTCTCAATACAATACCTAAACCCTAAACCCTAAACCCTAAACCCTCATCTACTACTCTTCTTCTTTTGGCTGTTTGTTTGTTGTTTATATATACACCACCCAGGGGCTCTATGTTGCGGGGTGAGTGCAGTTTTTTTTGTTTATTTTAATTAAATATAATATTATAAAATGTAAGATAAAGTAAATTTATATAATACAAACAAACAAAACAAAAAAAAACACAGCAACAAACGAGGAGCCGCAGCGGTGGCGGTGGTGACCTGGCTGTTAGCCGCGAGCAGAGCTAGGGTTTAGGGTTTAGGGTTTAGGGTTTAGGGTTTAGAAGGTTTTCAACTTATTTCGTTTTTTTTTCGGAATAAGATTTATCAAATACGTCACAGGAATAGGGTTTAGGGTTTAGGGTTTAGGGTTTAGGGTTTAGGGTTTAGGGTTTGTGTTTCGATACCACTGCTTGGTGAGCCGGCGCGCATCGATGAATTTTAAGGGGGATAAACCCCCACCATCACAAAATATAATAAACGGAATAAATATAATTTATATTAAATAAATTTTATTATTTATTTTTATTTTTTTAGATAAACAAATTCACCGCGCCGATGCTGTGCTCGTCTGGCGGCGCGAGCAGCTGTCGATACACCGCAGCTGACCGGTTCAGTGCGCAGCAGAAACGAAACCCTCAAAATAACCAAAATTTAAGCAATAAACGAAAAAAATAAATAAAAATTAATAAAATAAATTAAATTAATTAATTAATTTTAATTTAATTTCGCAAAAATAAATTTTTTTTTAAAAAAGGTCCTACTGGGATTTGAACCCAGGTCGGCGGATTCAGAGTCCGCAGTGCTAACCACTACACCATAGAACCGACATTCGTGCTGCTCGCTGCAGCAGCAGCAGCAACAGCACCAGCAGCAGCAGCAGCAGCAGCAGCAGCACCAGTAGCAACACCAGCGGCAGCAGTAGCAGCAGCAGCAGCAGCAGCAGCAGCAGCAGCAGTTTATAACAGCAATGGCATCCTTCTTTCTTTGCTTAATAAAACAGTTGAATAGCAGCAGCAGCAACAGAAGGCAGCAAATAATATAATAAGAAACGACAGCTGCTGCTGCAGCAGGAACAAAATAGTACAATTAAAGAGAAGGAAAAATAGCTGCACCAGCAGAACCAGCAGCAGCAGCAGCAGCAGTAGCAGCAGCAACAGCAGCAGCAACAGCAGCAGAAACGCAATATTATATTATGTGTTGAACAGCCGCAGCAGCAGCAAAGAGACAAAAAATATAGAGCGATTCGTCTGATGATAAAGAGAAGAGACAGAGGAGAATAAACAGAGAATATATAAAGAGACAAAAGAGAAAGAGAAAGACAGAGAAATAGAGAGAAAGAGACAGAAAAGAAAAAGCAAATGATAGATACTGTCTCCGTTGTGCTGCAGCAGCACTTGTTGCTGCAGCTCGAGAAGCAGGGAGACGACCCCACACGGGTTCACTTTATAAAACAGTTTATAAATATATATACTGTATATGTATATAATATATATATACATATATATATATATATTATAAATATATATTATTTTATGTATGTACAGAGTATATATATGTATTTTTTTTATGTAATATTAGTACAATAAATAACTTCTGTTCTTTCGTTTTTTTGCATACAGAAAAAAAACAAAAAAAATATAAAAACAGAAACAGGTGTATATACACCCCAGTTAAAGAAAGAGAAGTTTTTGTGCATCTCAGTGAATAAACAAACGAAAAAAAAATGATTATAATTTATAAATTTATTTATAAATAAATAAATCAACAGAAGAACCCAAAAACCACTGATTTTCTTCTTTTTTTTTTTTTCTTTTTTCTGTTGTTTTATACTGGCTGCACCGCCGCAGCCCCGGGGGTGCTGCATGCGTTTCCGGTCGAATTTCACCGCGTAAACGGGAAAAAAGAGGATAAAAAGAAATAAAAAGTAGAAAATAAAGTAAAATAAATAAAAAAATGAGAAAAAATGAGAGATATTCCGCTGAGATCGCTGGTTGCTTATGGCCAGCCATCGTTGCGTCATTTGTATGCACAATCTGAGGTGTACGTACACCTCAGCAAACGGCTACATTCTATAAAACAACAGCTTTTTGGTTATGCAAAAGGAATGCCGGGAGAAATATGTTGGATTAAACCAC